TCGTTTTCAAACCAAAATCGTTTGTACTGAAACTTTTATCTTTAATTAAGCTGACGAGAGAAGCGGAGCTAACGTTAAATTGCTGAGCAGCCACGATTCCCAGAAGGATTAACACAACAGTTGTCTCGATCGCTGAAAACATGTCTCTTTGTCGATATCGTTCTGCACAGTCACCTAAAAAGGTAATTTTTTAAGAAACAGCTCAGGGGGAAAAACCCAAGCATTACTATAATTTCGAGGGAAAAATTTTCATAGTTTCTTTTGATTCTGAGTTTGCTACAAACTGAGAGCGACTAAGAAAGTTACGTCTTCTACCGAAAAAAGTAAAATAACTCCAAAAAAGAGTACAATTTTTTTTGAAAAAAATCTCTTTTTATATTTAGTTTTTTGTGTTTGTTTTACTTTGGTGCCAGCTTTGACACTGAGGCCTAGTCAAAACATTTGACTGTGGTGAAGAAAACAACGACAAAGTTTTGATTATATAAATGTCTTTCAAACTTGATTCGTAACACTAATCATTTCGCATTGATTAGTCAGTTATATTTAAAAATGCATGGAAGCAAAAGATATAAAGCTGAAAATACTTGGTTATTTTTTTAAAAAATGAATAATGGCATTTGAAAATGTAAAAAGAGAGCGACTAACTATTACTTGATCAACCGTAGCAATCAGAAATGAGCTTCGCATGCAATTTGAGCTCTACTATATTAAGTTGGACCAAATTTTGCGACAAATTTGTCATCTGATTTGAAATGAGAAAAAATTATAAAAAAAGATAATAATTTCTATTAACAATGCTTAGCACTTAGGAAATATTGCCAGACTGGAAGCAATGGTACAGATGAAGCACGGCAGTGCCGTGAATGATGTTTCTGTTTTGCTGACATTTTGATAGACTTTTAGCTTGCAGTACAACTTGATTAGTTGCTGATATTTTAAGGTTTTGTTTGATAATCACTGGTTGTGTTACCCTTATATACCTTATTGGTACTACGACCTTTTACCCTACGATAGCAATAAACTGTAAGCACGAACTTCCTAGAGATTTGATATTGTTAACTCTTTGGTTCAACTCAGCATTATTCTATAGCTCTCAAAAAGGGAAGAGTTTTTTCTTCTTAAGTGCTTCATCTTAAACTTGATTTGCCTTCACTTTTCAAACATTTTTTTGTGAGTTCTCGTTTTTGTGTTTCAATGGAACACTCAATCTGTTTATAAGAAGTAGTTCAAGTAACAAGATTAAAGTGGGAGATACCTGAGAACGGGTTCGCT